TGGCAAAGAATATTGAATATACCATGGACTGCCAGAAGAACAAACAAATCTGTCTTGGAAGAAGTACAGCCAGAATGCTCATTAGAAGTGAGGATGGCGAGACGTTGTCTCACATGCTTCAGACATGTTATCAGGAGGGACCAGTCCCTGGAGAAGGACTTTATGCTTGGTAAGGTAGAGGGTCAGTGAAAAGAGAAAGCTCCTCAACGAGCTGGACTGACACAGTGGCTGCAACAATAGGCTCAAGCATAACCACGATTGTGAGGATGGCACAGGACCAGGCAGTGTTTTCTTCTGTTGTACATAGGATCGCTATGAGTTGGAACTGACTCAATGGCACTTAACAATAACAACAATAAAACAGTCATTTCATCCTCACAATTTTCTATTAATGAATGAGTTTTTTTTTAACATTTTACATTGTTCCTTTTGCTCTCTTTGAATTTGTATTTTCATTACACTTCCCTTACAGAATTCTATCTTAGAATAATATTTTCTATACTGGAAAGCACTTTATTGGTTACACTAGTATTATATTTCTTTGTAACAAAAATATGTACATAAATTTAAATTACTTTTTAATTACCTGTGACCCTAACTCTTTCCATATGAAAAATTTCTTTTGGATTGTGTTATCATTACAAGTATTATTAATACACAATGGTCCAAAACAATATAAATGTATTATAAAATGTAATAAATAATGCTTAAATATAAAAAGTAAAATTTTTTATTGGAAATTTGTCTGTTACTTAGATGAGGCTGTTATTTCTTCAGTAAGTTTATTTAGGTTTTGGACAAATATTATTTATTTCAAGAATGGGACATAATTCAGCATGACTTCTATTCCCATTTTTCATTTTATAGATGTAAATGCTAAGAAAGCTTGTTCATATAAACGAACAGCTGGGAATGGATACAGTTTTGTTATAGTGATATCACCCATTTCTTTGAATCGCTTCTATGCTATAAGCACTAGGTCATACGCTACGTATCATCATCAGAGTTAGTTCTGAGTGATCTATCCGCTGATGAGCAGACCGCTGTTGTTGCTGTGTGCCGTCGAGTGGATTCGCACTCACAGCAACTCCGTGTGACAGAGTAGAACTTCCCCATCGGGATTCCTAGGCCGTAATCTTCACGGGGAGCAGATTGCCAAGTTTTTCATGCTGTGGAGCCACCAGGTGGGTTTGAACCATCATCTTTTTGTTAGCAGGCAAGTGCTTAACCATTGAGCAATCGGAGCTCCTTACGAGTAGATTATTGCTGTAAAATCGCAGCATCACACCTCGTCTAACTTCAGGGAGAGGAAAGAGAATCACCATCAGCATCAGCATCAGCCCAAAGCTGATTGCTATGAGGTGGAGGTCAGACATACCTCCTCTCTCCAAACTTTTCACCAGTTCTGACACCAGCCGTCCCTCCCATGGCACTCTCTACTCTGCTGGGTTCAGTAGTTCATTGCAATGGCCACACAGGACTCACAGAGGAGACTCACAGTTATGGGGTTTATTGGGGAAGTAATAGTTACACTTCAGGATCTGGATCAACTAGGAAGTACAGTGACACCTGTAGAGCCGGAACTCAGCAGGGCTGCCTTGATTTTCCGGGTCTCTCAAGTTTTCCACCTTTGACAGGGTGCAGTCTTCCCACTTTTCTATCGCTTGTTTTCATGGAAAATATTTGCATTTGCCTTCTCGGACAGGTTTCCACCTTACACAGGTTTCAGCTTTCACAGGTTTTGCTGTAACAGAAACAACTCAAAATACAGTCCTTTGATTGGGATAGCTTCTTCTTGGCTGTGCCCGCAGGCAGGCCTCTGCTGCCAGGCCCTTGGTCTTGACCTCAGCCCTCCACTCTCAACCCCTGCTCACACCAGTGTTACACAGCTGTTCAGCTTCAGTAATTAGTGCCCCAAGGCATCCCACTCTGCCAGGAAGCCTCGTGTCCAAGGGTGCTCAGCTCTCTTGCTCTGTGGGTCAGCAGGCCTAGCTCCACTAACAAGTGTCCAGAGGCACCTGACTCTACCAGCAACCCTACTGCCTGAAGGCTCTCAGCTCTCTCACTCTGTGGGTCAGCACACCCACTGTAGCCACCTTGCCCGATGGGTCACGAAGCCCACCATGTCATCCTGTGCCAGTCTCCTGGTTCTGCTGTTGCTGGGCTCTGCCGTGCTTGCTGCCGCTTCTTGCCACCTCATGCTGTCTCCAGTGTTATAGCTCTCTATGTCTCTAGGGTCTAGGAAGTTCTCAGCACAGAGACCCCAGGTCCAAAGGACACACTCCGCTCCTGACTCTTCTTCTTGATGGTAGTGAGGTAGCTCCCCTAACCCCTGGGATTGGTTCTTTTTAAGCCTAGCAGGATGGCAAAACTGACCAATTACCTACAAGGGTTCCATGTACCTTATTTGCATAGTCCCACCCAATCATTTTGTGGGAGTTACAAGACCATGACTAGAAGGGCCATGTAATAGCAATTCACTGCACTGCAAACACTTTCAATTTTATCAAAAGCAAAAAATTGGAAACCTTCTATTACGCAAAAGGTTACATTATCCAGGCATTGGAATAGCTCTCTTTTATCAGCACCAACACTGATATTTCAAACGTTTCCTTTGTTTATTGTCCCAGAGGTTTTGTGTCCTGTGGCAATGGGATATGTAGTAAGATTTGGGATGGGAAAAGGATGCTTTTCTTTTGTGCCACGGGAGAAGATGATTAAGAATTAAGACAGCAAGGTATTTCAGGTGATAGGCATTCTCAAGAAGGTAAATTCTAGGCAAATGTACCTATGAAGGTCGAGAAATTTTAAATTTATTTCCTTAAAATCATCCATGTCCCTGTATTTCTTGGAGAGTTTCACGTACCCCTAGGTCACCACGAGTCAGAATCGACTCGATGGCACCTAACAACAACAGACGTATGTGTGTCCCTGTTAGGAGATGCCACCACAGACCTTGAAATATATATACGGAGAAAACAAAGTAGGAGGAGAAATAAAAAAGAAGGGGGGGGAGGGGAGGGGGACGGGAAAGTAGATGGGGTGGGAGAAGAAGATGAAGAAGAAGAGACGGAAGGAAGGAAGGAGGGAGGGAGGGAGGGAGAGAGGGAAGGAATGAAGAAAGGAAGGAAGGAAAGAGGGCGGGAAGGAAGTATTGAAAGATGTAGATCCCCATCTCGAACTAAATAAGCACAAGTCACACTGGCCAAAGAACTAGCAAGAAAAATGGTTGACTAACTCCATGACGCTGAGCTAAATCAATTTGCAGCTAACTTCACTACTCTTTCCTTGATCTCATGAGATTTCCAGTCATTTATTTCAGAGGGGTTTCCAGCGAGTCTCGCGATACTTATCCAACACAGTGGCACAAGAAAATGACAGACATCATGTTTTTGTTGCAGATCCAAGAGATTTGGATGAAAAAGAATTCGATTACCTTTAAAATACCTGCCCTGAGGGCTCAGGTAACTCCAAAGCCCTCCAGGGATTAGAAAAAGAAATTAGAAGGAATAGAAAAAGTTATTTCATAAAGAAACCACTTACAATGAGTGGGCCCCGGTTGTTCTCCCGGTACTTGTTCTGGAAGAAAATGTAAACGACGGTGGCGGCCAAGGAGTAGAGGAAGGTGAAGACTGCAACGGTAACGAAGAATTCTGCCGAAGATGAGAAGTCGCCAGTCAGAGCCAGCTTCTGCCGTTCCTTTCCCTCGCAGGTAGGTGCCTCAAAAGTCACCTGATGCAACCTAAATCCCAAGATTCAAGAAGACACTCTTTAATACGCTTGATAGAGGAAATTCGATGCCATATGTCTACATCTTCTAAAGCAAAGTAAAATGTGATCTGGGGGTTTCATGGCATGCCTAAGAGACAACTTCATTAAAAACATTACAGAGATTATAGCTGCGGATATGGAAATAAATATTGCAGTTAAACATTGTTCAGTTGGGTTTTATCATAGCTAGCCACTCTAGAGAGAAGGGATGGGGAAGAAAAGGGAATGTGAAATGATTTTAACTTAGAGTACAGAATCCTTCTGCTTGAATCCTCAATGCTTTCCCACTGTGCTTGGACTAAAACCCACCAGCTCCTTAACATGGGAGACTAGGGCTTACATACATGCCCCATCTTTGTCTCCAGCCTCTTCTCCTGCCATTCTTAACTCCATCACCTTGTTCCAACCACGTTGTCCTACATCCTATTTCTCGGTTATGCCCAAGCACGCTCCTGCCCTAGGGTCTTCTCACTGATATTCCTTCTTTCTCAATCACTGTGTCCTCTGACATCTTCCATGGTTAGCTCCTTCTTGGCATCTCCTGGGGAACCTTTCCTTGGCCACTCATCTAAAGTAGCTCCTCTCTCTTAGACATTTTCTACCATCTCACCTTCTTTCATGTCATTCATAGTACTCATCACCAGCCAAAACTCTTGTGGTAGTGTATTAGATTCCTGGTTTTTTTTTCTTTCTCCTATACCTTCAGCAATGAACTCTTCATGCTAGTGGGACCTTGGCTTTCTTCTCTGTGTATCCTGAATGCCTGACACTTGTTATGTACTCAGTATACAGCACTGGAATACACGGATTAACATTCCTGATTCTATAAGATGACTGGTCCTCATTTGACTAAACTTTGGAACTTCTATTTTCTAGAGTAAGTTCTATCAGGGCAGCATCCAGAGGAATTATATTATTTGATAGAGAAAAAGAAGATGTTTGGGTAATACTTTCTGCTCAGCTGATGACACTTAAGGAAGATGTATAATTAGCATAACAGTAACTCATGATGTGAACTAGAACCAAGCAGTGAACTGTAATTTAATATAGTAGCTGTCATGGATTGAATTGTGTCCTCTCAAAATATGTGTCAACTTGGCTAGGCCATGATTCCCAGTAGTATGTAATTATCCTCCATTTTGTGAGTTGTAAATCCAAATACCTCTACGAGGCAGGATTGGGGTGTGGTGGGGTGTATCTTGATTCACACTGCCTTACTTAAGTCACGCCCTTACTCAAGTCACATCCTTGCTTGAGTCACACCTTTTGTTTTATAAGAAATAAAAGGAGAGAGAAGCAAGCAGAGGAAGAGGGACCTCACTACTACCAAGAAAGAAGAGCCAGGAGTGGGGCGTGTCCTTTTGGACCTGGAGCCCCTGCGCTGAGAACCTCCTAGACCCAGGGGAAGACTGATGCCAAGATACATGGAGATCTCCAAGGAACGCTGGGCCCACAGATGTTGAAAGGAGACAAAGACCTCCCTGCAGAGCCAACAGAGAGAGACAGTCTTTCTCTAGAGCTGGAGCCCTGAATTCAGACTTCTAGCCTCCTTAACTGAGAAAATAAATCTGTGTTTGTTAAAGCCATCCACTTGTGTTATTCCTGTTATAGCAGCACTAGATGACTAAGACAGTAGCCAAATTCTTCTTCTTCAGAAATGACTAAGTTATTCCTTGAGGATTAGGCAAGCACCTGAAAATAGACTTGAAAGAGAACTATTTACGTCAATAAAGCATCACTTGGAAAATTATCTATGAAAGTAACAATGATCATACTACCACTGACAAAGCTCGTAAATTCCCAATTTATGCTCAGGAAGTGATTTACTGACTAAGCAAAACTTGATCCCTTTACAACAGACCCACTGTGCCCATCCTCTTGTAATTAAGATAATAATGACAACGAGAAAACAACACTAACGGTAGCATCTAACATATAGGGGCATTTCCTCTGTGCCAGGCTTTGTGTTACGTGTTTTATATGCATTATTTGATGCAATGCTCAAGACAAACCTATGATGTAGGCATTTTCATTGCCCCCACCCCCCCTTTACAGATGAGGACACAGAGGTTTAGAAAGATTAAGTAATTTGTCCTAAGCCACGTAGCCAGTAAATGTTGGGGCATGGGTTTAAATCTTCATCTGACAGCAGGGCCTGATTTTTTTTTACCTTGCCATTAACCTGCTCTTGTTAAATAATGAGAACATTAACCAGGATGGATGTTTTCTCCAAGTGAAGCCCATGCATGCCTAGCATCAGAATCCCTGGGGGCCTTGATTTAAAAAAACAAAAAACAAAAAAAAGGCTATTCCAGGACATTTTCCTGGACCTGGAGTCCCTGGGTGGTGCAAATGTTTAGTGCACTCGGCTGCTAATCAAAAGTTGGAGGTTCAAGTACACCTAGAGGCACCTTGGAAGAAAGCCTGGCATTCTACTTCTGAAAACTCAGTGACTGAAAACCTTACAATGCACACACGTGGGAGTTGCACTGAATCAGAAGCGACTCAAGAGGGACTGGTTGTGGTTGTTGTTTTTATTCTGAATTACTGAATTAAAATCTCTGGGTGGATAGCCTCCTTGATAGCCAAAGCAGGAAAGCCCCGTCGCCCTAAGTTCCTTCTCAAAAATGTGTTCTTTTTTATTTATTCTTTGACTTGAAACCATTTACTAAGTCCATTTGATTTTACTCGTGGATTCTGAGCCTCATTGCAAAGAAGGGTCATTTTTCTTGACTAACAGAAAGTTGTGTGTCTTAGTTACCTAGTTTGAAACCTAATTCCAAAAGAATTCCTTGCATTCTTTAGCTCTCCCCTTCGGTCTAAGCTGATGGTTTTTCTGCCATGGTGCTTGTTGAGATCAGCCAGTCACAGGCTTAACCTCTAACGAAGACTATGTAACCACATCCTTGTTTAAAATTCTAGGACATGTGTTCTTAGTTTGCACAACAGGATTTTCCAAATCTTTAAGTTCTGTTTTCATTTTGCACAGTTCACTTTTAAGTCCATCTCTTTCCTCTCACATTTTACTATAAGCTGCAAGGATAAACCATGTGGCCCCTTTAAGATCTTGCTTAGAAATCTCATCAACCAGATATCCAAGCTCATCGCTTACAAGTTCTACCTCCCACCAAACATTTGAACATAATTCAGACAAGTTCTTTGCCACTGCATAAAAATCATCACCCTTCTTCCATTGTCCAATTACATGTTCATCTTTTTCTTTTAAAGCCTCACCAGAAGCACATTTAATGTCCAGATTTCTAGCAACATTCTGTTGCTGGCACCATATGCATTCTCTAAGACAATAGACTTTCTCTATAGCTCTCTTCACTTTATTCTGAGCCCTCATCAGAATGGCCATTGACGTCCATAATTCTACCAACAATGTTTTCAAGTCAATCTAGGCTTTTACTCTTACCAGAAAACCAAACCCTTTGACGTCGAGTCAATTCCAACTCACAGTGACCCTATAAGACAGAGTAGAACTGCCTCATCAGGTTTCCAAGGAGCAGTTGGTGGGTTCAAACTGTCGACCTTCTGGTTAGCACTGAACGTTTAACCACTATGCAACCAGGCCTCCAGGCTTTTACTATTAGTCACCTTAAAACCCTTCCAGCCTCTACCTGTTACCCAATTCCAAAACAACTTCTACATTTTAGTTATCTGTTAGAGCAGCACCCCACTCTAACATATCTAATTCTATTTCAGCTCTTGTGGCATAGTGGTTAAGAGCTCAGCTGCTAACCAACAGGTTGGCGGTTCAAATCCACCAGTCGCTCCTTGGAAACCCGATGGGGCAGTTCTACTCTGTCCTATAGGGTCGCTATGAGTCGGAATCAACTTGACGGCAATGGGTTCAGTTTTTTTGGTTTAGTGCTGCTATAAGAAAAATACCACAAGCATGTGGCTTTAACAAAAAGTTTATTTTCTCACAGTTCAGGAGGCTAGAAGTCCAAATTCAGGGTGTTGGCTCTAGGGGAAGGCTTTCTCTCTCTGTCAGCTCCAGAGGAAGGTCCTTGTCTCTCTGAGCTTTTGTTCCTGGGTGCCAAATCAATTTCTAAAGTGGTTGTACCATTTTACATTCCCACCAACAGTGTGTAAGTGTTCCAGTCTCTCCACAACCTCTCCAACATTTATTATTTTGTGTTTTTTGGATTGATGCTAGCCTCGTTGGGGTGAGATAGTATCTCTTTGTAGTTTTGGTTTGCATTTCTCTAATGGCTAATGATCATGATCATTTCCTCATGTGTCTGTTAGCCGCCTGAATGTCTTCTTTGGCGAAGTGCCTGTTCATATCTTTTGCCCATTTTTTAATTGGGTTATTTGTCTTTTTTGTTGTTGAGATTTTGTAGTATCTTGTAGATTTTAGAGATTAGACGCTGACTGGATTTGTTGTAGCCAAAATTTTTTTCCCAGTCTGTAGGTTGTCTTTTCACTCTTTTGGTGAAGTCTTTTGATGAGCACAAGTGTTTGATTTTTAGGAGCTCCCAGTTATCTACTTCCTCTTCTGGTGTTTGTGAATTGTTACTTATAGCTTGTATTCTGTTTATGCCATGTATTAGGGCTCCTAGTGTTGTCCCTATTTTTCCTTCCATGATCTTTATCATTTTCAATTTTATATTTAGGTCTTTGATCCATTCTGAGTTCATTTTTGTGCATGGTGTGAGCTATGGGTCTTGTTTCAGTTTTCTGCAGATGGATATCCAGTTATGCCAGCACCATTTGTTAAAGAGATTGTCTTTTCCCCTATTAATGGACTTCAGACTTTGGGCCTTTGTCAAGTATCAGTTGCTCATAGGTTTCAACTTGAACTTGCGAATGAGCAATTGATGGTCTGTTCTGCAGTCGGCCCCTGGCCTTTTCTGACTGATAATGCTGAGTTTTTCTATCGTCTCTTTCCAGGGATGTAGTCAGTTTAATTCCTGTGTATTCCATCTGGCTAGGTCCACATGTATAGTCACCATTTATGTT